CCCGAAAACACATTACTTACGGGATGGCGTGGGAAACCAAAGAACATCATGCACAGCATGCCCTCCGGTTCCCATTCAGCCCTGGCACACAAACCATGACACAATCGTCGTTGTGACGCCTTTGATCTGAACAGTATGTAATCCTCTATTGTAATTAAGAGAGTAGGGCCTCTCGCGTTCCGCGCGGACCGGAAGGGAGAGTTTCCCTACATGCCATCTCACCACCGAGTTCCCGCTTCTGTCACATTCGATGTATTGGGACCCAGACATGAGCACTCTGTAGGTACAGATGTCAAACAGTGAAGCGCGGCGGGACTCCACATGGGCCTGCGGACGACCACTTACCATCGTCCAGGTCTGGTCTAGTAAGGTTGCCCAATGATCCAGGTGATTCCATTGTCATTGAGCACCGCAACCTTCCGTATGGGAGCGCTAGCATTGAGACAGTGGCAGGCAATGGAGACCCAGACTAGCGAGGCCAACATGACTTGCAAACAGGAGGCTTTTGATCAGCTGATTTTTTGATGTGTTTGGGATGAACTCAGGGGAATTGACCGCTAGAGGACGAATCGCCTGCCAGTACGGAAGAGGCCTGTACAATGCTACTCGATGGTCGCACTTCAAGAAACTTTGCAATGGTGAGATGGTGAGGCGTCGCGATCCGCCCCAGCACCAATTTGTCAGACTGTTGCACGCTGGTGTGCAGAGCACTGCATGGGCTTGAGCGGTCCTTGATCGGAAAGGTACTACTTTGTCCTGATCGCAAACAAATTGGTCCTTGGACTGTGTCGCATGAGGATGCTGGTAGCACATGCCATGTAACAGGTCACGCAGGCTTGGAGGTAGGTCACAGCATGGGTGGCGAAACTGGAAAGCTTGCAGTCAGACCTCGCAAGCGCGACCACCGCAGGACTCACTGCGCAATGCTTGCCACAGACAAGTTACCTCTGAAGATGGCCCCTTGAGCATTGGATGGTGCGCTCGTTATGCTGAAATAGACAGAGATTTGCCCCTCAAATGCACACACCCTCCACAGGAACCTTCAACAAACCACATCCTTGAAACTACAGCATCCTGACAGATTGGAGTTGTGGCTGTGAGTAGAGTAGGGGCATGATACACAGCCTTGGACGTGGTGTCAATCCCGTCTGCTGTTCACCTGGTCAGAGTGTCCCAGCTCCACACATCCACGAATAGTTCAAATCCGTGTAAAGCATTGTTTCTGGCTATCCACACTTGAACATTGACGACCAAGTCTTGCCTCCTCAGGGGCATGTTGAAGGCGAACCTTGTTCCTCAAGTGTAGAGAAGGGCTGATACCAAGCAAGTGTCCGCATTACTCATGGAAAGGGGGGTCGGAGCCGATGGGAATACGCTGTGTGTGCAAAAATGCAGTGCTCAAGACAGGAGTGAGGCTGGCTGGCGGCTGGGGCCACCTGCGCCACCAGGGGCTCCAGCGCCGAGGCTGTGGAGCTGGGCGCTGGGGCTCCCAACGGAGGTGTGCACCCGGCCCGCCTCACTCCGCGTTGGGTGCGCCCTCGGACGAGTACTGGAGGTAGAGGGTCCGCGCGTAGGGCGCCGCCGATGTTATGTTGAACTGCACGCGAACCTGCCGGCTGAGCGCGTAGGTCAGCGTCCACTGCGTCGCGACGTCCGAGTCGCGCAGCTTCCTCACCAGCGCCGCCTGGCGCAGTGGTACAAAGGTGTGGTTTCTTTTTGGAGGGGGCGGGATGAGTGGTGGGGCGCATCGGCTCGGCTCTGCGGGCTCCCACCCTGTCTCGTCAAAGGCCGGCAGACAGGAGAGCAGCGGCCGGCGGGTGGGGCCTTTCCCTCCCAGCACATGGCCACTGCCTCCTTTACATGATCGGCGCCCGCCACCCCCTTTCCGGACCCCCACCCACAAGGTCATCCCCCGCAAAGCCCGCCGATCTCGCCTGCAGCTTGCGCCCAAACTGGACCTCCACCTCCGTGCCGACCGTGATGGAGCTGAGGAGGCCTGAGGGCTGCGCCGACCCGCCCCCGGGCTCCAGCAGGCCTGAGGGGAGGCGGTGTCGAGCGTGTGCACGGTCTGGTGTGCCTGCTTTCCCGGCGGTCTTGCAGGAGGGGAAGGCTGGCCGAGGCGCTCAGCCCCCGGGAGCGACGGGCCCCGGGTGGGCAGCGCCGCCCGCCACCCTCTCCTGGATGTCACGACCCTCTCCACCCCCGGCCCCTGCCGTACACGCCGCGCACGGCTTCTTCTCTGCTCGACCCGCCCCCAGCACGTCCGCCTGCCCAGGTGATCCGCCACCCCAGCATGCCGCCACCCCAGCATGCCAGCGCTTGTCCCGCTCCCCAACCCCCCCTTGCCGTCCCTAATTCCCCGCCTGCCTGGGATGGAGGGCGCCGACACGAGGCGCCAGGTGGCCCCCCCCACCTGGCCGGAGCTCTCGATGCGGGGCATGAGCCCTGCCACCGTGCTGCCTGCCAGCCGGCTCAGCGCCAGGCGCCCGTCGTCCGCCAGCAGCGCCGACTTGAGCCGGTCCTCGAAGATGCGCGCCGCGTCGGCCACGTCCAGGGCGCCCGCGCCCTCGCCGCTCACGTGCTGCAGCGTCATGTGCTCCTGCCACTCGCGCGCCGGGCCCTGCGAGCGCGAGAGCACGCGGCGGTGCGGTGCATCGTGAGGTGGTGTGGGTTCACGGGGACGGGCGTCGCGCGGGAGGTTCCGGGGTTTCAGCAGGCGCAGGCCGTCGCACGGCCCGCCTCCTGCACTCCCTCCCCACTCGGCGCTCGCCGGGCGTCCGCGGGTGGCCCGCGCCGTCCCCAGGCGGCGAGGTAACCGGCGCCTGGTCCGAGCGGTCTTCCCTGCCCGGCCCCCGCTGACTCCCCGGCACAGTCCCCTCGCTGCCCTCCTCCAAACCACAGACCCTGCATTCCCCCCCCC